GCTACAGCTACTTTCAGTGCTACTGATGTTCATCAGGCTCAGGTGCACAGAGGGGCGGTGCCAGGGAGGTTGGAGGGTCGATGTGATGGTGCTGATGAGGATTTCTCTTTTTCAGTGATGTTGGAGACCAGAGAGTGCACAGCTGACTGGATATTAGAGTCTTTTCCTCCAACTGATCTTTTTAAGTTAACTTCAGTCACAGTAACATTGATCAACCTATCTCTAACAATCAGCTACCACAGGCCTTCAAACTGGCTGTAGTTGAGCCACACTGTTAAAAACCATCTTAAAAAAACAGCTGACTGGAAAGTTGCTGCTGTTGAGCCAGGAGAAAAATATAACTGTGCAATAAAAGCAAAACAAAGCGGGAACACGGTGTGTTGGGTCCTTCACAGCTGTTGATGGTTTAGCTTTGATTCAAGAGTTCGATGCATTTCTTACAGGTAATAAACTTTTTGTAAAGCACATTCAGATCCACTCCTGGAGCAGTGTGAATGAAACGGCACTACAACATTTGTACTGACTCAGCGCTACTTTGAATACATGCATTAGAAGATACAAGATTATGACTGCACATGTTACTTGTGCATGTATTCAAAGTCATAATCTGATCAACTTCACTTCCAGTTTTGAATGAGATGAATTGTCTGTTATGCATTTTCTCTGTGAAGAGAGGATTTTCTGTCCCTTTCTATTTTGAAAGTGTGCATGTGTTTAGCTCCTTGGGGTGCAGACATTATCGTCCTGAGGTTTCTTTCAGCAAAACAAGCAGCACCATCAGTAGCCATACTTCTCAAATGTCCGCCCGTCAACCCACTGCATTACTCTGTGATGTAAAGCCACTTTCCATCGCCTGTTAACAAGCAAACCAATATTCACAAACAACTCTAATTTTTTTCTTTAAAAGCTGACATTCTAGGGAACATTTAGGGAACTTAGTGGATCCCTTGAATGGGTTTTTCTTTTCTTTATGCCACAGAAATACAAATTTATGCCAGGACAGTAATCAGAATACTGCTGAGAACCTTTTCAGGCCTGCACTGCAAATCTGTTCAAATTAGTTCACTTTAAACCAGTTTATTTATTTATTTAAATCACAGAAATACTCATCAGAAGAAGATTTATAGAGCAAAACAAGTTTATTTAAAGAAGATGATTCCCTAAGAACCAGATTGGGTTACCAGCTGTTTAACAGGAATGATCAGGGCCGAGGTGCAAAAGACAAAAGAAAAGTATAAAGAGACGACAAATGGGAAGACACTCGTTTAAGGACATGCAGCAATGGCAGATAAATGCACTGAGAGAGAAAGGCACTGATACTGTCGAGCATATCATTATACTTTGGTGCATTTTGCCACTTTATTTTGATGCTTTCTTATAAACAGTATTTTATTTTTATATTTAGTTTATTTTATTTCATAACTCAATTGACCATAAATAACCCCGTGATGCTAAATTGAATAAGTGATGTAGTAAATGGCAGTTAATCATGATGATAAACGGTTTATGATTTTAGTGGAATACTTGCCCACATCAGCAATGAAGGCAAATCTGGAAAAACAGGAGCATAAATCACATGTTTGTTTTCACTGACAACATTTAAAGGCCTCGCACCACCCACACAATCATCAATCACTCATCAATCAATCAATCACTCAATCAATCACTCAATCAATCATCAATCACTCAATTAATCATCAATCATAAGGTCTATACTCAGACACTCCATAATGTTAAAATTGGATTGATAAGGTGGAGCCAAAGTCTAATTAGGAAAAACAATGCAAAAGGTTTTTGTGACTTCCTGAGTGTCCCAGTGTCCCTGCAGGCTTTAAAGAGAAGAGTTCATATTCTGCCATCTAGTGGCAGAAGCTCTGCAGACAGGTTAAATGATAGAGATAAAGCCTGCATAGACGTGCAATTTATATCCTTATTAACTAGGCAACAAATAGACAGGAAACAGATTTGGATAAATGAGGATGTAATGTTGTTATTGTAATGATATTTAAAATTCAGCAATCATTGGCTCATAAAGGGAGCTTGATAACAGTTCAGACTCCTCAGTCCTGTCTTCAGTGATGCTCAACAGCTTTGGGTTCCACAAAGTTTCTGAAAAACGTTGATGTTAAAAATGATTTCTTTATCCATAATCATCAAAGTGTTTACCTTTCCAGTTTTTATATTATAGGCAAACCAGAGCAGGTGAAATGCTGCATAATCAGAAGAAGAGATTCCATTAAAAATAAATTGTTGTTGCAAATGTCAAGCAGCAAGTTAAGAATATGAAAGAGAGCATGGCTTCTACAGGAAAACCTTAGAGTGCAGCAACTATTCCTACAAACACAAATTAAGATCTTTACTGGAAATCTGCAGGGATCTTAAAAACAGTGTAAGACTGAGACTCTGCAGTGACATCAGTAACTTGGTCACTGAACACTAAGTCGAGGCCCAAACGGACATGAACACAATCTGCAGTCAGAAAGAATAAATTTACAAAGGTTATGGAGGCTTTTCAGATCTGGGCCTCAGGTTTCATTTTAGTGAATGGTGATATTTACTCTGATTACAGTTTAACTTGTATGTAAATGCAACACGGAGCAGCGGAAGCACGGGCCAGAATGTGATAAGAGCGGAAAGAAGTCTGTGATTTTAGTGTAGAGTGACCCAGCCTCACAACTTTGCATGGATCGGACCAATGTGTAGACTTTACCCTATCCTCAAATAATGTGCAATTTGACAGTTTATGTAATGTAATTATGCAACACGTCATTAATATAATGTATACTGAGGCTATAGGTGTGAGCCGAGGTTTACCTGGATTATGATGCTCATGGTATTTATGATATTGTGTATATTACTGTGGAGGTAAGAAAAGAAAGTTTTCTTTGAACTTGTTCCTGATTTTTGGTTTAAAAATGAAACGCAGTCTTAATGCACCGTGCTTTGTTGCATTTGTCCTTCACATCTCGTATTCGTTCAGCAGCGACTGTGAACAAGGATGGACAACAATATTGGCGATTCATTTACACAACAGCTAAAAAAGTCTCCTGCAGTGTTTTTCTGTTCCTCACTGATCTCCTTGTACGTGCTGTTCCTAACATCATATGTTGCTCATAAAGAAAAACCTATATGACTGTATTTATAGTCTGCAGGACAGTCCGTATATGACGGCGCATTCAGCTGATCTTTGACTCTGACATGGGCTCGGCGGGGGCCAGCGGCGAGCCATGATTCAGTTGGATGTTGTGCAGGGGTGTGTTGTGGTGTGTTTCTGGGAAAAGGGGTTATCTGCAGCTGATAAGAGCCTCGTTTAAAAGGCTGCGCAGGAAGAGGTCCACTTACTTCACCACCAGCTGGAGGGAGCCACAACACGCGAATCATGCTGCTGCTCATCGTATCCATGGTCAACGTGCTGTTTGGTGTTGGAGTGGTTTGCATGCCGCTGTCAGACAACGGGCCCCACGTCGCCCACGGCTGGGCCCAGGTGGTGCGGCTCAGGCACCTTTACGCCACCAGACCAGGAGTGCACCTGCTGATCAGTGAGGGTGGACAGATCCGTGGTTCTGCCGTCCAGACTCTGCACAGTAAGTGCAACACTTTGAAGCACAGAGTCAAACAGCTGCAAACTGCAGTATGTGTTGCTAAGCGCAGTGAGCTTCACTGTGGGGAACATCTGCATTTTAGGCCTAATGGAGATTCGTCCAGTGGGTCCAGGCCGTGTCGTCATCAGAGGGGTAGCAACCGCAAGGTTTCTCTGCATAGAAGACGACGGCACACTGTACTCATCGGTGAGCAGAATAATAACACTAATAATACTAACAAAAGGAGAAGAATACATATTTTATTTATATCACTGATCAAAACCAGAGATACAAAATTCTTTCCAAAATCAAAAGCTGAGGTTCCCCTTTTTCTAAATCTGCATGTTCTTACAGAAAGAGGAAGCTGTAAGTTGTTTATCACAGAAGAGTTCATGTCAAAAGTCACGTAGACATTTGCTTAGTTGAAAATAAAAGAGCACATTTCATGTAGCTGATCATATACACACAATTTTCCTTTGACACACATAAAAGACTAAAATACAACGTAGAAGGACAAAAATAACTTTAGCATATCTGATTAATTGACACATGCAGTTCATTAAAAACATGACAAATGTCACACACTTGTGTGCAGATTGAGTGATGCTGATGTCAAACAGTAAAGCATACATGTGTAGTAAAAGTGACACATGCGATGTTTAAGCTCAGAGTGTAAATAGAACAAACACAATAGAAAAATGGCAACAAAAACAAATGAAAAAACGAATTATTACTAAATATTATTACTAATATCTGTCAGTTATTACATGTTTTTAGAGTTAAGAATACACTTTTTAAAAAATGTTATCAATTAATTCAGTTATTGTTTCAGTTCCAAATAATAAAAGTTGTGAGGGAGGTGTTTTTGTGGTAGCTAACATTTTTCTAAACGTTACATCTCTCGATGGAGCCATGAGCAGCTTCCTCCTCACCTTTCAGCTCGTCCTAGAGCCCAAACACATTCAGAAAGCAGCTCCAAGCAAAAGTAAATATTCGTTTTGGAAATGTCTCTGAAATTCCAGCTCTGGAGAGTTTGTTCTGTATTACCAAGCAAACGACCCAACATGAAAGTAAGAACATGTAACCCCCCACACAGACCAAGTTTATATTCATGCTGCTTGTGTCCTTTCCTGTGAAACAACATTTTCACTCTGTGCAGTACGAGTTTAAGTGCACGCCATGAATCAGTAGCTTGTAGAACAGGGGTGGGCAACTCCAGGCCCCGAGGGTCGGTGTCCTGCAGGTTTTAGATCTCACCTTGGGTCAACACACCTGAATCACATGATTAGTTCGTTACCAGGCCTCTGGAGAACTTCAGGACACATTGAAGAGCTAATTTAGCCTTTAAATCAGCTGTGATGGTTCAAGGACATCTAAAACCTGCAGGGACACCGGCCCTCGGGGCCTGGAGTTGCCCACCCCTGTTGTAGAACCACCTTCAGCAGTAATGTTCATTAGGACTTTATTCCTTCACATTATTGATGTTGATGCAAGTCGCTGTGGTTCATTTGTTTATGCACAGCTCTCTTAAACCTACACCAGCATGTTAGTTGGCTTGAGTTGGGCCACTGCAACATCTTAATCACTTTTTCAGCCATTCTGTTGTAAATGTGTTGCTATGATGGGATCATTGTTCTGCTGAATGACCCGTTTTCAGGCCACCGTTCGGCTCAGCATACTTTGGTGTGCAGACGAACACATGGTTGGCTCAGTGACTGTAAGGTGCCCACATGATCAGCGCTCCACCACAGTGCTCACAGCTGCTTTGAGATGTTTGTGTTCATGTACTGTGCTTGGTTTCCTCGGTGCTGCACATCATGGCCCGACATCTCTACTTGATGTCTTCTTTTTAGAGAGAAGAAGCAACTGGTTCAGTCTTTTTCTAAATTTGCTGTGATGAATTTTAACGTTTAACAACAGAGGCCTATCGAGTTAGAGATGCAGGTTTATCTGAGCATTGCACAGTCTGACCTTGGGGCTCATTTACTGGATCATCCACACCTGGAGACTGAGACACGTTAGCACAGACCTGCAAACGGCCTAAAGTTCTGCTGTTGTGGAGCAGCTGGCTGCTACTTCTCCTCTTAACTCCTGTGGAAGCAGTACAGGTGCATTTAAGCTTTCACAGGATTACAATGCATGTTATATTCATGTACTGCAACAGCTGTAATAGTTACAACTGCAGTTGCATCTCATCCAGCAATTGCTAAAACACTTTAGCTCACACAGACAATCACAATGAAACCATGATGACCACAGGTCGTCTAAACCTTTCTCAGCAGTGTCGTGTTTTCTTCATATGAGGAGACACACATGAAGTCAAACAGAGGCAAAATAAGCTTCTTCTTCATCTTTGTGTTATTTGTAAAATTGGAAAAAGTTTTAACTGATTAATCTGATTGATTAATATTTAATCTTTCTCCATTTCATAACCTGCACAGTTCGATTATTACTGGTTCAAACTTTATATTCTGATTCAGCACTTTTACTTCAATACTTTAGTTTCACTTGGTGTCAAGCTGACATTTGAACTCTAAGTGGTGAACATAAAGAAAGTAGATGTAAGTTTAAACTGCAAACGTCTTCAGTGGCTTCAGGTTTCTGTAGACACGAGTGACGAGGCCTGCCGTGCTGCTGATATGTTGTTAATCGTCTCCATATTCACTGCAAGCAGCAGAGTCATTCATTCAAATAGTCGAGCGGTTCATCAACCTTTGTTCAGTGTGGTGCAGGGCAGTGTGTTTGCAAAGTGGGAAAAGCTGAATGAAAAGACCCAGCAGCACCAACAACAACCTTGGCCTCTGGCTCGGTATCTTTGGTCAAAGTAAACAGCCATCGAAGAACCTGCAGTGCCGTTTACGTGTTTGTGTGTGTGTGTGTGTTTTTGTTAATAGTCCCTGTTAACCCTTACCCCTCTGTGTACGACATGTATATAGGATCAGCAAACAAATGATTTTGAGTGGAAACAAACGCCAAAAAAACATATTTCTTTACTTATTTCAAATAAAGGATATAATAAAGTATACTGTAAATGTTGTTTTATACTGTAAATGTGGAGAGTGATACATGTGACGGTGATGTGAACTTTTCCAGCATGCCTACAGCAGAGAGGACTGCGTCTTCAGAGAGCAGATCCTGCCAGATGGGTACAACATCTATATCTCTGACAGACACGGAGTCCTGCTCAGTCTGGGAAACCACCGGCAAAGACTGCAGGGCTCAGACCGAGGAGATCCAGCCCTGGCCCAGTTCCTCCCCAGGATCAGCACTCTGAACCAAATGCCTTCCCCCGGGGCAAACATCGGTGACCACGTGACAGTAGCAAAAACAGAAGAAGCTGTGGACACAATAGATTCATTTGGAAAGTTCTCTCAGATCATTGACAGCCCCAGCTTCCATAAGAGATGAGCTGCAGCTCTAAGACACCTGCTAATGCCGGGGGGTGTCCGAGTGTTGTAAAACCAGGCTGCAGCATTCCTGCACCGGGACAGTACCTGCAGCTCTGTCCAAAAGACTACAAGTGACCCAAAAGACTACAAGAGCAGATCCAACAGAGTGTAGTGTGCATGCTCTACAGGACACTGGTACAACAAGGTGAGGGTGCTCACTGATCACAGCAAACAAAAAGCAACAAACATGCAGGAAAAGGAATGAGTCAGCTGACTGAGGAGCGCCGTGAAGGCTGTAAAGAAAGAGTCCGACGTGTTCCTGAAATATGAAGCAGGATTTAGGCTTAGTGAGGTAACCTCTGGTTTAACCTTGAGTTTTACTGTCGATGAGGTGCTCCACTCTTCACATCGCCACGTAAATTATGCTCCGGAGCAGAGAGTGCTCAAGATAAGCAATCAACACATACAGAACCTCAGCGTGCAGGCAGTGAGACGGTTTCCAAGACTTTTCCTGAAAACCATCAATGGAATTTTTTTTACCTTCTTATGTATACAGGATGTAGCTTTTTTATTTAATTATTTAATTTCATTTTATCCTAATTTAATTTTTCCAGCTTTTTAGTTTTACAGACCAGTCAGAATGCTTAACGCTATAAACTAAACACACAACCTTTTTCATATTGCTGAGCCTGATGTTAGTCGTGGGGTAAGTCAGTCAGAGGAGGATATGTTGAAGTGGCCTCTGTAGGAAAGAGGGCGAGTGGTGACTGACTCTCTTTGTGAACTGAAGGTGTAGAATAAGATCAGCACACAGGAGGAGGCAGGACCTGTTCGGACTTCATGTTTCCACACTGAGCTCTAATGTCTGCAGAACGACTGCAGTATAAAGTGTAGTTTGTACTGTAAAACTACAGCCAATGCTTTAGTTTAAATATCAGTGTCATTCCTGTTTAATCATCGTACCTTCATATTTACTCAGTATGTCCTGTTTCCTGTTACATGTGAGGATGTAGGAGTGGCTCATCCAGTGGTTTGCAGCTTAAGCTCGATACTGTTCACCAGTGTGTCACACACACTTTCATCGGTGTGACAGGATGTGTGTGTGACAGATTATAAAGCGCTGTGAGAGCTCCATAAGAATCAGCATTTTGTCCATGATAGATCATATATCCAACGAGGTGCTATATCAATGTGAATGTGATTTATATATGAACTAATTTAATATGATGAACCATTTCATGCTTGGTCACTGTGTAGTTTTGTTAATTATATTTAAATGTTTTTAATATAAATAATCACTTGCACAACACACAAAGTATATCAAAGAAGCACGAGCAGAGTATGATCCCAGCAGGTGTGTGCTGCAGGCTTTTCAGGTGGCTATAAATAAACAATTAAAGCTTAAATAGCTGGTTCATTACAGGCCAACGGTGCTTTTACTTTGAAACTTCTTAAACGAGCTGGTTTAAATTGTTTATTTGAAGAATGTCAGTGAGGGTCTAGAGGTCATCATGGCACAGAAAAACATTTTAATAAATATGAGGAGGTTAATAAATGAAAGTCTAAACATACGCAGCTTAAATCTAAATTGGATGCAGGTATTGTGCTGTGAGGGTAAAGATTTTCTTCTGTCCTTGTGGTAGTGAGACAGAAAGAGATGTTAGAGAAAGTGTTCACCTGCACTCAGCACAGTCACGATCCAGGAATTATCCACAGTCACAGCTCTGGACGACCTCTGCTTCAGAAAGAGCATCATTGTTGTCCTCACATTCAGCTCCAGCACTTTGCCTGGACTACAGGTGCTGATGGCCAAATGAAGCTTGTGTTGAAATACACTTCATTTCAACACAGTCCTCTCTGGTGACATCTGGTGGTGAAAATATGAAAAGCAGCTTGAATCTACAAAATAAACGAACTGTTTCATTATGACTCTACAGACTGGAGTTCTGTCTGACATTGGGCCGCCGTTGTGTTGCTGTGAACGTGTATTTTTGTGGTAAAAAATTGTTGTGTTTATTTGTTTAATAAATAATTTTCATCAGTAAACTTATTTAAGCTTGTACCATGGTGTGGTCGCGACTTCTTGATGTTGGTAAATACAATAAATGAAAAATAGATATAATAATGTACAACACATTATGGAGTATACTTCTGCTGTGAGGTCCTGCCTCCATGTACCTGGACAGGTATGTTTATAAATTATATTTATAGTTTTCTGTATTTTTGACCAATGGGTAGAATTGATTGGGAACTGCACTTGTAAAGTAAAAACACGATGCATTCAAGGTTATACTGTTTGTTTTGTATTTACTGTGCGATGGCCGAGTCTGATTCTTTTCTTGGAGATCATTTCTCCTGCTCCTCTCACATGCAGCAGAAGAGGCTGGAGTCCACAGGGACTGCATTGCAGTAGATGCAGGTGTACGGTCTTCCCCACAGACTATCACCTGAAAGGAATAAACAAATGAAATTTCTGCAAATTTTGTAGAAGAACATTTTAAGATTATTAGTAAAAATAAAATATTTTATATTAAATTAAGGTCAAATGTCAGTCTTTCTAAAGTTATTTATTGATATTAATATTAACAAATGCAGATTTTTGTTTTAAGACATTTTACGTTTTTCACATTTTCAGATAAAAGAAACAAACACAAACCTGGCAAACACACCTGACTGTACAAAGATCAACTCCAAATACATAATCATATTAATACCATATGACAGAACCTCCATTTCTCTCAATAGGATGATCAGAGGTTTGCTGTCTGTCACCATCATAAACTCCACATGAACGATCCGCTTCCTTATAAACCACTGAATGAAGCAGCAAAGCTTCATTGATCACGCAGCTCTGGCCAAACGAGTGAAGCCTCCTCACAGTCTGAAGCAGTGGTTTTTCTGACACATGCGCCGGAGCGCCAGCTTCAAGCAGTCATCTTGATTTACAGCAGGACTGTCAGTGTCGTTGCTCAAGCTTCAGTCTTGAGGGTAATGTGCAGGAAAAGTATTCCCGGCTTCGTGAGACTTCCAAGACAAATAGCTGCCATTTGTCTTTCACATAAATCCCAACGAGGAAGAAAAATAAACATTTTCATTTGACAAAGTTAAAATAAAACAATAACGAGAGCTGCTGCACCGTCAGTCAGTGACAGGACACCACGTCTATCCTCCAGAAAACCCAGGAAAATTCATATTCCAACGTTTTTGTGGTTTCCTTCCTCTGGAGGAGCAAAAAGGGGCCACACCTGAGACATCGATGGATAGCCCAGGATGTCCTCTGTGTAGCACGATTTAAGTCAAATGTCCATCACAGAGGACATAAATGAAAAGGCTGGTTTTGGGAGGATATCAATGTGAAAAACAAAAACATAACCTCGATGACGTGTCAAAGCCTTTTGTTTGTGTATTGGTATAAAGTATTTTGTACATTAAGCCTGAAGTCAGCGTTGCTCTGAAACACATGACCCAGCTGCCCTCAGTCTGAACACAACGCTGTGTGAAAGTTATTTCTCTGTGTGCACATCCATCTGTTCCTCGCCTCCTTCAAACATGTCAAATAAACAATTAATCTGACAACAAATATACGTAATGAATGGTTCAGAATAACAGGTCCCAGATCAGTCAGACAGCAATCACACGTCATCTACACACTGCAAACGCAAAACAATAAAGAAGAAAAAGTTTAATGAAATAATTATTATATTATACATTCATTTACTGAATAACCAACATTGTTCAGTGATGGACATCAATCAGGGGCCACTTGCAGCTCGCATACTGACGTGAAGACATATAAAGCAATATGACCCTTGTGTTAGGTAGGATTGTTGTTGAGTGCAAAGTTAAAATAAGAAATGATTTCATGTGAAGGCGACATGAGCAGAGCGCACAAACATGCTGAGGCTGTGTTAGTTCAAACACTCATGTGAACTCATGTCTGCACAGACAGGACCGATGTGTTTGTTTGGTAGCTCAATGAAAGGCTTCAGTTAACAGTGAGGGAAAAAAGGTTTGCACTCACGTTTGCAGTTTGGTCTTTTTACACAATATTCGAAGGGAAAAGAACGAGGCACAAAATGTTCTGATATATTTGTGGGTCTTTTCTTATTTGTTTGTTTGTTTGTACTGCCTGAACACTGACGTGGCTCCAATGAGATGACGTCCCAGCAGCTCCTTTCAGTTTGAAACCCCTGACAGTTCAAATTAGCAGTAAAATGTTTACTACATTGATTTGTTTTCTTTTGTAAAACTAAATAATTCAAAGAGAAGGAACGCTATAAATAAAAGCTCGATGAGGTAATCATCTACCACTGCTACAGTTTGTTTGCTTTACAATGAACTCCCAGTGTCCCAGACACTTTGCATTTCAGACGCCCTGATTAAAAGTGGCTCTGTACAACTTTTGCTATTTACAACAAAAACTCTCTCTACTTCTTTTAGTGTTTTGCTGCCTTTTCCCTCGTTTCAAATCATGTAGAATATTAAGAACCAGCTGCAGACGTTTGTTATTTCAGTATTTTGTGAAACCTTCAGAAAAACTGTTGTCATTGTTCCTTGCACAAGTTACCGACAAACCGTGTACATGCTGGAAACTGTTCGCCAAAGCGTTTCAGCTGCTAAATGTTCCCTTTCTGTCCACACAAAGTCCTTGTATTGAACTGAGCAGCGTATTTCTAAAGATCTTACCCCATATTCACAAAGTTTCATGGTACAATCACTTAATCCTGGTGACAAAATTCTGAGACAATTCTTAAATTATGTTTTCAAAGTTTTCCCCCTCAAACGCTGCCAAAGGTTTAAAAAGAAAACGTTTGAAATGGAGACAACGTGTAGTGTAATCGGAGCAGTTAATTCATTTTTATTTTGAGCTTAGAAGATGTTTTGTCACAGAACACTGGACCAGACCAGGTCATCTTAGGAATTTTGAGTCATTTTCTCCAGAAAGAGACCAGTCAGACAATCATAGAAATGCTGCCATTACCAAACATGGCTTACAACTAATTTGCATCTGCAATCTCTCGGGAGGCTAAATTATCTTGTCATCACGTACAGTCTATTTTTCTTTGGGCAATATCCCACAGATGTTGGAAAATTTCTTCTCATGTGGAGCTGATGATAATAACATGCAGCTGTCCCAGCAGCATGTGTGTTCAGCAGAAGAGTTCGGGTGCTGAACTGAGCTGCCTGCAGGCGAGACTCTCGACCTTTCCCCAGCTGAGAACATCTGCAGCATCATGAAAATCATCAGACAACAACGGGAAAACAATCATCTCCTCCTCCAGACCTTACCGACCGATATTAAAGAACAGGATGCTGCACAGTGGGAAACGTATCCATGGCACAAATCTTTTGAGAGATGTTGCTGCCATATTTTTCTTGAAATAGAAAACGTTTAAACTGGGAACTATGTTCGTTTGTGAATTAAATAACTTAAGATAACCTCTTCCTATTTACTTTCAAATAGACCTGCCAATTGTTGAGTGGATCGAATGAACACGACATGACAGAACACACACAGACTGAGTTATTAGTAATTGTTCATTTTGGATTTAATGCTGGCAAAGATGCTGTCTTTATTAGTTTTTTCAAAAACAACAGTCTGAAAAAAACTTCAGGAACTCCAGAAAACACGTCCTCGGCTGTGTCCCAATTCAGGGTCTGCAGCCTTAAAGGCCGCATTTTAAGGCCGATTACATCACAGCGACGCGACGAAGGCTGTCCCAATTCAAAGGCTGCTCGAAATGCGGCCCTCAAATGCGTCCTTCATTTCCCTGAATTTTAAGGACGTGGCGGTGTAGACTTCGTGGCCCAACATATCCCAGAATGCATAGCG